GTTTCTATACGCCTGCACAAGTTTAGTGGATTTTGAGTCCTACAAGTTGTCTTCAAACTTTGCCCAATTCCTTACTGTGTGCGATTCTTGTTTCCTTCTTCCTTGGCAAAAAATCCTAATTGGCGGCATTAGGTTTTCGTTCACCGTGAAGATCGCAAGAAGAGTGACCACACTGCTCACCTCGTGCCGGACAGATTGTAGATGGGTTTTGATTATTTTTTGTAAGCCATCGATTTCTTCTTGTGCAGTGCAGTGATTTAATTGGGAAATAAGAATTTTTGAATTGTTTGTATATTATTATTTGTTTTTTGGAAATAGAGAATTTTTCTTTGACTGTTTTGTTGTTCTCCAATTGGGTTTATTTCTTTACGAGTTACTGCAATTCTTGAATGATCTTCAACCTCAAACTGCCCTCTAGAAACACAGCTGATTGCCACGAAAAGGAAAACCATCAACCCATGCAAACTCCGACTGAACACCCTCCTGCAACTTCTGAATAACATGGGAAAAGTATGGGTCAGTAGCATATAAGTCACACAAACTGTCGAAACCTGGAACCTCCACTCGCATTTCTATAAAGAGTGTTTGGTGCCTACTCAATGCATCTGCAATTTTGTTAAAGTCACCTGCCTTGTGCTTGATCATAAAAGTAAACTGTTGTAAGTAAGCAATCCAAAAGGCATGTCGAGCAAACACCTTATCTTGAGTACCAGGGTGTTTAAGGGCATCATGATCCGTATACAAAATAAACTCCTTCTAGAACAAATAGTCACGCCAATGTCAAATGGCCTGGACCAAATAGTCACGCCAATGTCAAATGGCCTGGACTATTGCATAGAACTCCACATCATAAGTATATTGAGTTGTGCCTCAAAAATTAGGAAAATATTGCTTGAAGATTGCGTGTTTGATTAAATTTGGAAGTGGCAGACAAAAATTAAGGAAAGAAATATTGGAACCATATGAATATGGAAAGACTCAAAGGAATAAGGAAATAAAATTGGACTTGGTAAGAATCAGATTGAATCCAATATAAAAAGGATAGAAAATATGTGTGTGTCGTTGATGGTAATGTTCAGACATGTGTTTTCCTTGTTACGTGATTTTCTTCATGTGATTTTTTCCTAATTTCATATTTTTGCCTAGTTTTAGCATTTGGTTCATGTACTATAAATATAGGACTCCTCTTTCAGTATTGTTTAAGGGATTATTGCTATAATTATCTCCTTTCATTGATGGAATAAAATAACATCATTCCTCTGCCAATTTATTTCTTTACTTTAATCTTGTTCATGGTATTTTTGCGATCTTGTATTTATACTTCAAATTGGTGTCCATTAAATCTCAATTCTTGCGTTTCGTTTCCAATTGGTCCCAACAAGTGGTATCAGAGTCAGGTTATTGGTGGATTTCTGGCCTAAAACTGATCGAAAATTTGTCTAAAAATTACCAAAAAATCAGAAAATGAATCTGTCCAGTTTTTCTATTTTCTGCTAGATCTGTTTTTGTTTTTCCTGATCAAACCAAAAAGAATTTGGAGAAACAAACACCACCAATGGACTCAATAGGTAGAGACGGTCCAGAAAGGGTCACAGGTCGCCGACGATGGGAACTCTGGCGAGCGAGTGACGGCGCGTATGGTGGTTTCTGGTGATGGTGTCTTTAGGAAGTTTTCTCCGGATGACAAGATGGACCTTGTGATGGTGTCCAATTTCAGTTTTGGGCAAAATTGTCGTTCTGGATTATTTTGCCTCCTTGCACGTTCGGAAGTTTTTCAATTTTTGGTGTTGCAAGGTTGCAAGTTCTTCGTGATTCGATTGAGATTTTTCAGAGATGACTTCGATGAAGTATGATATTCCGCTGTTAGATCGCAATACAAGGCTTTCGCTATGGCAAGTAAAGATGAGGGCTGTGTTGACACAGATAAAACTTGATGATGCTTTGCTGGGCTTTGAGAAGATGCCAGCAAATTGATTTATGGATGAGAAGCAACGGAATGATAGGAAGGCTATATCATTGATTCATCTTCATTTGCCCAACAATATACTGCAGGATGTCTTGAAGGAGAAGACAGCGGCTGCTTTGTGACTCAAGTTGGAGTAGTTGTGCATGACAAAGAGTCTAACTAGCAAACTGACTCTAAATTAGAAATTGTGTTCCCATCGCATGGCGGAAGGAGGGTCAATGCAGGACCATCTTGCTATGTTCAAGGAAATCATTGCAGATTTGGAGACGTTGGAGATAAAGTATGATGAAGAGGATCTGGCCTTGATCCTGTTATGTTCATTACATAGCTCTTATTTGTCGTTTCGTGATACTATATTATATAGTCATGACACGTTGACCATTGAGGATATATACAACGCTTTGTTCTCAAAGGAGAAGATGGAGTTGTTGGTTGGAGATCCCACATCTAGAGGTGGGGATGATCTAGTTACTCATGGTGGACGACGGAGCAATAGGTCAAAGGTAAAATTCAGCAATTTGTACTGCTTCTACTGCAAGTGGAAAGGACACTTGAAAAAATATTGTGACAAGTTGCAGGGTAAAGATAATTTACATGCAAATCATTCGGGGCAATCTTGTAATTAGGACGAAACCAATGTAGTGGAAAATTTTTTGGATGATGGAGATATGATGTTGGCTGTATCTGATGAGGAATCCAAACCTGATGAGTAGATTCTGGATTCTACATGTTCGTATCATATGTGTCCCAATAGGGCGTTATTTCAAACATATGAGGCGGTGAAGCAAGGTGGAGTTGTCATGGAAAACAACCAATCTTACCGGATTGCAGGAATCAGTCGGGTCAGATTGAGGCTACAAGATGGGACAGTGATGACACTTGATCAGGTTCGCCATGTTCCAGACTTGACAAAGAATCTTATATCGCTGAGTACTCTGGATGCAAAAGGGTATAAATTTTCTGGTGGAGGTGGAGTCCTAAAGGTTTAGAGAGGTGTTCGGGTTATACTGGAGGGACATATGAGATCCCAATTATACATTTTGCAGGGAAGCGCAGAACCGGTTAAGAAGAGACATTTGGACAAGTTTAGTACTGTGGAGGAAATTCAGTTTGGTACACTACCTCTTGTGTTAGGCTCTGAGTCAATTTCAAAGTTTGCTCGTGGGAGTGTTGGTGATTCTGCTTTGCCACCAATTTCAGCAGATACACTTTGTTCTTGTGCTAGTGGACTCATGGAGCGTAGGTTTAGTGGTGTCAATAATGTCTCTGATGTCTTAGGGATCGTTGAAGGTGACAGTTCTAACAAAGGACCTTCTGATCGTGCATTTGGTATGGTTTCTGCTACAGAGGTGCTTCGACCCTGTCCAGTGATTATTAATTCCAGGTAGAATTTGGGAACCTGGGTTTAGGTTTGGGTATCGTTTGTGGACGCCAAGCGGGGGAACATGTTATCGTGGAGAGTTTTGGTTATTGTGTTGAGGAGTTTGGTTATTCTGATGTAGACGGATCATTTCTCAAGGTGGAGAAATTTTGGAGTTTCATTCGTTGCACCGGAATTTTGAATCAAGGTGGAGATTATTGAGTTTGTGCCTCAAAAATTAGGAAAATATTGCTTGAAGATTGCGTGTTTGATTAAATTTGGAAGTGGCAGACAAAAATTAAGGAAAGAAATATTGGAACCATGTGAATATGGAAAGAATCAAAGGAATAAGGAAACAAAATTGGACTTGGCAAGAATCAGATTGAATCCAATATAAAAAGGATAGAAAATATGTGTGTGCCGTGGATGGTAATGTTGAGACACGTTTTTTCCTTGTTACGTGATTTTCTTCATGTGATGTACTATAAATATAGTACTCCTCTTTCAGTATTGTTTAAGCGATTATTGCTGTAATTCTTTCCTTTCATTGATGGAATAAAATAACATCGTTTCTCTGCCAGTTTATTTCTTTACTTTAATCTTGTTCATGGTATTTTTGTGATCTTATATTTATACTTCAAATTGGTGTCCATTAAATCTCAATTCTTGCGTTTCGTTTTCACCCGGTCCCTACAAAGTACTATATCGAGACTTCGGACCAGAGAGCTTCTCACTGAAATATGCAACAAGGTGGTTGTTCTGACTACCTTGTCCAAAAGCATTACCTTTTGTTTTTTTTTTTTTTTTTTTAAAACAAACTATGTTTTATTAAAACCCTCACGTATGGCGGAGGAAAACCGTGGTTACAATACTAAAAGGACAATCAAAATAACAAGTAGGATCTCAATAGACACCATTATCCAAAACTTCAAACTGCATAATTCACTTCCTCAAATAAACCACCCCCATCATATCTATACGAAGTAAACCTCGAGTAATCCTTGACAAATCAGTCCAGTTATTAAAACGTTTCGAAGACAGATAACTTGCTATAAGATTGATGTATTTTAAAATTCATACTCTTGAAGATGTTGGACTTGATATTGCTAATCTATCGATCCACATTTGGAGAGTGTTATTTTTAGCTTTTTTTTTTTTTTTTTTTTTTTTTTAAAACAAACTATGTTTTATTAAAACCCTCACGTATGGCGGAGGAAAACCGTGGTTACAATACTAAAAGGACAATCAAAATAACAAGTAGGATCTCAATAGACACCATTATCCAAAACTTCAAACTGCATAATTCACTTCCTCAAATAAACCACCCCCATCATATCTATACGAAGTAAACCTCGAGTAATCCTTGACAAATCAGTCCAGTTATTAAAACGTTTCGAAGACAGATAACTTGCTATAAGATTGATGTATTTTAAAATTCATACTCTTGAAGATGTTGGACTTGATATTGCTAATCTATCGATCCACATTTGGAGAGTGTTATTTTTAGTGCTAATTAGAGTAGAAACAACTTCATTTCCCAGCCAGCCACCAATTGGTTCCAAAGACAATTGAAACTGTGTTGTTTCCTAGAAGAGAAGAGGCACCGATGTCAGTAATAAACAAAATGAGATTAGGATATTAACTTTTGCATATTAATGTAATGCCCATAAATAATATTATACCATTAGGCTAGGCCAGAAATTTTCTCTTGAATCGTGCCACATGGACCATTGCTGTCACGTAGATCCAATCTCCAATGTTGTTCCAGAAGTTAAAAAAGGAATGTCTCCATGAATGCTTGAGTAACAAAGTAACAAGAATTGACCAGAATCCAGTAATGAAACCAAAAGCCACGCACATATAAAACTCTCGGCTTATAAACCCAACATCGTCTTCTTCAATGTTGCTGCCATGTCCATGATCAGGGTTAGGAGATTCTCTAGGACACTCTACCAGAGGAAGCCCACAGAGTTGGCTATTCCCAGCATACATAGAGGGGTCGAAGCTCTGCAGTTGAGTGCCTAATGGAATCATCCCCGACAAATTATTGTTTGATAAGTCCAAAACGCTGAGAAAATGTAATTCTGCAAGGCTGTTTGGGATTTTCCCAAAGAGCTCGTTTCTAGACAAGTCGAGCCATTCCAACATCTCCATTTGACCAATGCTTGATATGATATTTCCTGTCAAATGGTTTCTTGATAAGTTCAAGAAAACTAAACCCCTCATATCAGAAAAGTGATGAGGAATAGTTCCAACTAACTTATTGCTAGAAAGATCAATCCCTTTCAAAATTCCCAGTTTTCTATATTCTGACTCTCGTCCCTTCCATTGAACCAAAATATTGTCAACATAAGTATCCATGGGAAATTCATGCTCAAAGGGATCTTGGAAATCAGGATAAGAAATAGACATAATGTCTTCAGTTGACTTATCGTGTAGAATAGTAATTGAAACAAATGTAGTGCTTTCAGTTGAATTACTCTTTTGAACAAAAGAAGTGAAGTTGATGAAACATTCTGGAATATTCCCTGATATATTATTCTTTGAAAGGTCCAAGATTTGAATATCGGTAAGGTGGCAAATTGTTGGATGTATGTTTCCACGAAATTTATTAAATCGAAGGCTAAGAACTGTCAAATTTGTTAGGTGAGTTCCTATCCACTGTGGAATAGTACCTGTTAACTTGTTTCCTCCCACATCAAGCATGCGCAAGACGCTGCAGTTCTTCAAAGAGGAAGGTAGTTCGCCAATTAAATTATTATTGCGCAAATGTAATATCTTTAATTGAATCTGAGAGCCCAAACTTCGGGGGATTTCACCTGAGAACTTATTATTTGCCAAATTGAGAATTTGTAAAGAGCCTCCGAAGATTCGGCAACCGGGAATCTCTCCTGTCAATTGATTATCTGAGAGATCAAGGACCACGGTTTTAAAAGGAGTGGACATTGTGCATAAGTGAGAAATGGATCCCGAAAACTTATTTCTGGCTAGTCGTAGATCCATTGAACGAAAAAGAAATATTGGAATTGGACCAGAAAAATTGTTACTACTTAAATCTACAGGTGGAGAAAAACGATTGCTTGAGGATTGACCAGGAATTTCTCCACTAATGTGGTTATAAGAGAGATTTAATATTGACGAAGAAGTCAAATTCCAAAGCCAAGTAGGTAATGTATCTGATATATTAGCGAAAGACATATCAAGGACTGAAAGACTTTCCTGAGTTTAACGCCACTTTGGAAAATCCGGTCCCACTTTGCAAAATCTGAGGTATAATTCTCTCAATTGAAATGGAGGAATCCAATCAGAGCTCACGCTCAAAGCTAGGGAATTGTAGGACAAATCTAGGTAGTGCAAGTTGGCTAGGTTTGAGAGGTGTTCTTCTGTGATCGCTCCTTCCAAAGAATTTGAAGAGAGGTCCAATTTTTTTAGCTTGGAAAGTTGCCAAATACCTTCGGGTAGCCTTTTAAATCGATTGTTGGAGAGAGCTAACTGTTGCAATGATGAATATGCTCTCAAGTCCGGCAAGGATCCCCCAAGCTTATTGTTAGACAAATCCAAATATTCAAGGCTTGAATGTTGCTCGAGGCTTTGTGGGTGAAACTCATTCAACTGATTGTAGCTAAGTCTCAATTCTTTTAAGTTTAAAAACGAGTGGTTCATGGAAAGGAAGTGAGATCATTGTTGGATAGATTGAGATATTCTAAGAAAGAAAGATGAGAAAGCAACTCAAGATTATCTACTCTCAAATTGTTGCCACCAAGTTCTAGGCTGACTACGTGCCTTGTGTTGCTACACTGGACATGGTCCCAGTAGCAACATTCCCTTTTATCTTCTTCACTTCCCCACGATTTGAGAATGTCATTGCGGTCTATAAGGCCTTGCTTAAACTTGAGAAGAGCTTGTCTCTCACTCTCTATGCACCTAACCTGAGAAGCGGATAGTACTGAAGTTGGTTTCATGAAAAGTGAAAGTATAAAGACCAGCAAAATGAGTATTTTAAGCTGTCATTTTTTCTCTGGTAGTGATCAAAAGAAAAGGATTGATGTTTTGAGTTGTTTGTGTTCATGGAATCTTCAATTTTATAATCTCACAACCCAACAGATACGGTACAAGTGGTGGACCCCCTTTGGCTTTGGTTGAACTTAGTGACATCATTCCCACGATGAAGAAGACGCCACGTCATAATTTCTTCTAGTGAACAGACAGGGAGACTACTAAAAGTCCAAGTCCACGAAAACATCTTTATGGCAATGTTAAGGACTTTACTCGATTGAACAAGAAAATCGGGAATCAGTATGGCATCCGATACCTGTTAAAATAGTTTCAGAACTGGCTTGAATAAACCAGTTTTTACGATTTTGATCCCAGTTTGAACTTTTGACTCTTTTTAACATTTTTAGATTTAGATTATTATCCAATTGAGTTTTTCAAACATTGCTTTCATATGGCTCTTTAGTGGACCATGTTAAGTTGTTGATCAAATGAGCTATTGACCATTACCGAAATAAAATATTCACATGGGGTATGAACTATTGACCATTACCGAAATAAAATATTCATATGGAGCCCAACCCATGTGAGTGCCATGTGGAGTTTCTGTGAGATTATTCCGTGTACGTAGGGAATAATTAGTGAACTATTATCCACCAATCACGGTACAAGTGGAGGGCCCACCAAATAATTGAAGGGAAAATTACCCAAAAACCTACATTTTAAATATACATTTCACTTATCAAATCTTAAACTTTTCTTTTCACAAATCAGGGGTTAAATATTTAATTAACATTTATTAAACCCACGTCTCACCATTTCTCGCCCTTTATCACATAAAATCACATCTCACCATTTCTCTCTCCATCACACAATAAACTTCAAAAATAGCTGGTTCCGACGACAAAAGCAAGAAGAAAATTTACTCCGGCAACCGCAGTTGTTATGGGGCTTCAAAAGAAAAAAAAAATACTCCGACAATCGATTTACTTTGGGGTGATATCTTGGGGTGGTGGTTGGTGGGTTTTGGTGTATTTTTGTTGGTGGTGGTTGTTGTTGGTGCGGTGGTGATGGCATCGATGGTGATGTCGATTGTAGTGATGTTGGTGAGGGTGCTAACATAAGGTTTTGGGGGAGATGGAAAATCAAGAGAAAGGTATGGAGGAGAGAATTGGAAGAGCCGCCACCGACAGTCCCTCTACACCAACAATAGCAAAGTTATTGCTATTAATTATAGGGATTATTTATAAGTTGGTGTTTACTAGATGAAAAAATGTGTAGAATATTTCATTCTAGCAAAACATTAATGAAGTCATCGGTTAACAAACAAGTTTTAAGGTCGACGTTCAATGTATGGCAATAGGATCCTCATTTACATATTGTTCGACAATGTTGACTAAAGAGATAAATATGTATTTTCTGGGCACTCCAAATTTATGGTATGTTTAACTTATATTAATCAAGTTAGCATTTCTAGTAAGTTCTATTAGTAGTTTACGTGAGGCTGGGAATTCAATTTTGCTTGAGGTTATTAATTGGCTGTTGTAGCAATTGGTGGTGATTTCGTGCAGTGGCGATTTAGTTGTTGGTGGTTGTTTGTGGGTGGTGATAATGGTGTGTGTGCGGCTAGAGATGGCGGTTGTTGTGTAGTAATTGGGCCTTTTATTGGTGTGGCTGCTATCGTTGTGATTCGCACTGGGGATCAATAATTTGAGGAAAAAAATTGGAAAAAAAAGGAGACAAACAGGAATTTTGTTTATAGACACTACACCAAAAACCACTTTTGGCAACAGGCAGAAAACGTTGCCGTAGACTTATGGCGACGTTCAGGCGTCTGTTGTGGGATGAGATGTTGCCATAGAGCCAAGAGTTTCGGCAACGTGCATTGCAAGTTGCTGAAACCCAGTTTCGACAACGTGCAAGAGCACGTTGCCGAAACTAGGTTTAGGCAACGTGCAAGCCGAAACTTGCAACGAAATTGGAGTTTGTCATAAATGTCATTTTTATTTTTCTGATCAATTATTTTACATTTTTTCTGCCAATTAAACCTGTGAATTAAAAACATATTTTTACTATCTACGCACAAGTACCTTAAGCCAACAAAAAATTAAAAGTGCTTCATTTAAGCCAATAAACATGATCCGATATGCAATATTACTTCATCAAAACATAATAAATACTTCAATTCAAAAATATACACCATCTAACCAAAGAACTATGAAAAATGTCTAAAAGTTATGTAAACTGTTCATAACCGAAGCTTCTAACGAGTCCCAGCCAAATACTTCAATTCAAAAAAAGTGTCATCTAAGTTGTTTTGACATCTCTTCTATTCCAAACATCCTCTTAAGTCTTGGTATGATAGGAAAATAACGCAAGACTTTTGCTGGAATTTTTTTTTGAACTTAGTTTGTTGGTTAACTTTCCATCTTGAGCAACCACATTTTGGACATAATTCAACATGTTCAAGCTCCTTCCTATATAGACAACAATCATTCAAGCAAGCATGTATCTTCTCATAGCCAAGATTAAATGTGTTGACAAGTTTTTTCATCTCATAAAATGAGTTAGGAAGTGTATTATTTTGTGGTAACATGTCCCGCACAAGATGTATGAGTTCATTGAGACCATTATCTGATAAACCATGTGCAGCTTTATGTTTAAACATAGCAACTGAAGCTGACATCTTCGTAAACGCCATACAACTAGGATACAAAGGAGTTTTCGCATCGCTAACTAAACGTTGAATGTCTTCCTCTGTTCCATCATGACGATTTTCAGAATCTACGTCATGTTGTGTATAGAAGTCCCTAAACATCCTACATGACTCATGCATTTCTACATCGACCAAATTTGATTTACTTGGTTTTTCTCCATGAAATACCCAATCAGTGTACGTAGGATCCATACCCTTAATAATCAAATGTTCATATACTATTTCATAGTTGTGATGCTTTAGATTCCTACACTTGATACAAGGGTATCCTATCATTTCTGAATTTAGAGTTTCACAAGCTAGTTCTACAAACTTCCGTGCTCCATCTCTGTATTGTTCTAAAAATCTACAACAACAATTGTATGATCATTTTATATTATTGTTAAATTTTGAAACTAGATTTATAAGATTTTGTTTCAGACAGTAACCTTGATAATTGCAGCCATTCTTTGTCCATTATGATACTATCAAACATTGAACAGCAACAATTCAAATTGTGAACTAAATGGCCTTTTGTTTCGGTCTATTATAGGCCAATCACAAAGCCCTATGCTTCGGTTTATTATAAGCAGCTATTCGTCCAGCATCATCATCAACTAAATTGTAACCTGTTTAGTGATTGTTTCAACTCTTTAATCTTCCACTGAGTCATTTCACCTCTTGAAAAGTCAAAGACCTCTTCACTTAGAAGCTGACAAGTAACATCTATGTCAACTGCATGTACATATTCCCAAAAAACCAAGGATATATGGGATTACTGCCTCACTTTCAGTGTAGCCATGCAATTCTCACATATAGAGATCTCGTCACTTGTTTTTGCAGCTGCACAGATCAAGTAATGGAAAAAGTTGAGAATTCATACTCTTCAATAAATATGCAACAGAGAGCACATATCATTCAATTTTCCCCACCAAAATTGGGGAGATCATACCTTAACTATAACTTCAAAAACATAGTTTTTCATGCCATCTCGTTGTTCAACAGGCAAAGCATTCCATCTATACTCGATAACACCTTCTAGAACCTGTATATGGGAGTTAAAAAAAGTGGTCACTATCCTCAGTATCTATAAATAATTTTAAGAATAAAAGAGTTTCTGCTATTTACATTGATGTCCATTGATCATGAGGTCAGTAACCAAAAAGACACAATTCATCCATGTAGTAATCACAAAAATTAATACAGGATTTTATCCAATTCTAAAGAGTTTATCACACTAATAATCACTCAAAAATTTCAATCATGTGATAAACCATAGAAATCTTCAAAATTTTCAAATCCCAAGACACTAAATCATAAAGCAAATTCCTAAATTAGAAATCCCTAAACCAAAAATTCCTAAATTGGTAAACACAGTTACTTACAGGAATGAATAATACCTAAATCAACATTCAAAAAACTGGGAGAAAACGTTAACATATTAACATTGCAGACACTAAAAGTGGAAGACAACGACCTAAATCAAATGTTACATACCGTAGAGTTTCGACGACGACGGGCGATGACTAGCACTATGCAGACGGTAGACGAGAGCAATAGATTAACTCAACTACTCAAGAAGCAACGTGCAGACTTCGGAGATGGTGAAGGACGAGAGAGAAACACTGTCACGTCTGCTAGAGAGGGTGAAAAGGAACTGAGAGAGAGAGAGAGAGAGAGCACTACTGCCGCAGCCAGGAGCCAGAACAGGAAAGGAACGCCCAAATTGTGAAATGAGATTGATTTAAGTTAGGTTAAATTTTTAAAGGACGGGGCAAGACTTTTCGCAACGTTCGTGCCTAGGAACGTTGCAAAAAGACTTTTCGCAACGTTCATATACACGTTGCGAAAATTACTTTTCGCAACGTTCAAAAAACGTTGCAAAAAGTTATTTTAGCAACAGGTGTTGAACGTTGCAAAAGTGTTAGATTTTTGCAACGTAAGTTGAACTTTTCGCAACACTCTATGAACGTTGCAAAAAGTGATATTGGCAACATTCATCTAAAGAATATTGCTAAAACTCAATAAAGTTGATCAATCGCAACATTCGCTTGTTAGAATGTTGCCAAAAACTCCTTTAGCAACATTCAATCAATGAATGTTGCCTTTTAAATGTTGCAAAAGAGCATTTTTGGTGTAGTGAGATGAGTTGAAATAATTTTGTTTATGGGTTTGTTCTCAAGTAAGAGAGACAAATTGTTACATTAATAAATAAGTTGAAATCATTTTGTGTGGACAGGAATGATTTTGTTGCTTGTGGTACATGTGATCGTGGTGAGGTGGTGTCGTTTGGTTCATAACATTGTTGGAAGTGATGGTGGTGCTAGAGTGATGCTGGCTATGGCAATTAGGTGTGATCAAGTCTATCTTTATTTTGACTGTCTGTTACTATAAATATATTATCTGTGACTGTATGTGACTTGGTTATATACCGTCATAAATTAGACAGACCTGGTCACTGATAGTCACACGAAGACAAATTTAGCCACAGTTAGTTACAAATAATACATGTTAGTGAAGGTAGTATTTATAGTCATAAATTTGAGTTGAAGGTGGTAGTGCTGTTTCATTGGACATGATGGTGCTAGTCTTTAGTGTGTGCAAATTTATTTGTGGTGACCTTATGTGACCAATTATGTGTTTATTGTGATTGATTGCGATCAAATCTGTGTCAATTGTGATTGGCTATGACTTGATCACATACCGTCACAGTTAATATTGAATTTTCTCTCTTTTCTCTTACTTTCTTGCTGGTAGTACATGTGATTTTGGTGAGGTGGTGTACGTTTGGTTGCCAGTGTTGGGATGGTGGTGAGTGACCAAATCTATCTTCATTGTCACTGTCTGTGACCATATTTGTGTTAATTGTGACCGTATGTGACTTGGTTATATAAAGTCACAAAGTAGACTAATATGGTCACAGACAGTCACGCCGAAGGTAGTCGTTGGGAGGTTGCTGAATTATTCGTCGAAGCCATCGTCGAAGTCATTGTCGGAATTGTCGCCGGAGTTGTTGTTGGAGCCATCGCTTGAGGTGGGTTGGAGTGGAGAGAGAAAGGGAAGGATTTGATGTGATGGGTGGATGGGTTGAAGGTGGGGTGGGGTAAGTAGATTAATTCACTATATTATAATTAAGTATTTAATAAATTTAATTATCACCTGATTTTTGAAAGATTTTTAAAAGTTTGTTAGTTTTGAAATGTGATTTTTAAATGGAGGATATACGTGGTGTTCCCATAATTGAATTGAACTTAGAGTCCGTTTGATTGCAAAGATGAAATTTGAGAGGAAAGAATACGAATTTCAGGTAATTAAATTGCTTAGAAATTGTTTTACTGAGAATTGTCAATTAATAATGTTTGATTTGTATAATTTTCTACATGAAAAATGTTGAAATAAAAGTATTTTTTGGTGTTCGTTTTACTTTGTTTTTCATAGAAATTGTCAATTTAAGGGATATTCACTTCTACAATTATTCCTAGAATTTCTTTTAAATTATTTCTAAAATTTTTTTTATTTAAAAAAAAAAAAAAAAAAAAAAAAAAAAGATCCAAAAATCATCTATATTTTGATGTTCTTTTGACTTTGTGTTTACTTGAAAATTGTCAATTTAAGGAATATCCTATTTTACAATTGTACCTAGAATTTGTTTCGATTGCCAAAATAAAAAAAGGTGGAAAATGTAAAACCACCTACCCCATGGGAAAATGAATTCTCCAAAAACGTGAAAAATGTGAGCGTGTGAGGAAAAAGAAGAAAATGAATTCTAGGGAAAATTTTGGCTATCAAACATGCCAAAAGTGGGAAATGGAATTTGTTTTCCATTTTCCATGAAAAATTTTGACCTATCAAACAGGCCCTTAGAGAACAATGAAAGCCACAGTTTCTGATAACGTGTGGAAAACGGAGATAGCTAAAATTCCATACGCTAGAAGAACGACTTTGTATTCATAGAATTTTTTTAAAAACCTAACCCGTTCGAAATCCTATCCTCTTACGTGTACGAAGCCGAAAATTTCAAACCCATTAAAGAGTTCTCTACCTAAAAGATTTAGACCTTGCTAGATGTCGAATGCACCTAATTGGCATCGGGATTTCGTGGCCTTATCCAAGAAGATTTATCCAAAGATCTATGTCTGTTGTAGTAGATTTATTTGGGTATTTGCATTACTTGGGTGGGTATTTTATAGTTAGTGGATTTGATGAAATTTGAATGTGAACTCATTTTTAAAGCTCAAAAATAGAAAAGATTTATTTTTCCGTTCATTATTTTTTTACTTATTTTTCACGACACATGGAAAAACTCCGTCCACATCAAAAAAACTTGTTCAATGTGGATAACCAAAAAGACTTGTATCAATAAATTCATCGAACCATACATATCATAATGTCGCATTAGCAAGAGAAATATACATATTGTTACAATTACAAAAAATTTGAACATAGTACTAAGCCTTAATAACTTAGTGATGAAAACCAGTGTGATTATTATAAGACGATTATCTGTGAAGGTAAGCTCAATTTCTCTAGAAATTGTTAAGATGCACATCCACATTACTAAAACTTTAAACGGTGATGATGAAAACCTGAAATTCTTCAAACTATAATGTTACTTTAAGCGTTGTATTGAAATTTTCAAATTTGCTCAACCCAAAAAGTTTCAATATAGTATGATACCGAATTTTGAGAGGTTTTTTGGTTGATGATCGTGTTGAATTTCAAAATTAATAAAATGAGTAGTTTTTAGATAAAATAAAATTATGTTATCATTTTCGGGTATATTTGAAACTTTTTTTTGATACCTATATTTCTCTACTTCTGTTTTGGGATGAGGTCATACGTAAAATTTCCCGTTTAAGGCGTGTAATGTCCTCAGCTGGGGTTTAAAATCAACAAAAGAAAGAGGAAAAAAATAATAAATAAAAGAAATATTAATTTGTAATCGTCTAATAAGTTGTGACCTATAATATTTGTGATCTGTGATCGATACATAAATTGTGACGTATTAATTTTTGAATTATGACCGTAAAATAATTTGTGATATTTAAAAGTTATGATTTATGATCGAAAATAATATGTGACTAATTAAATAGTGAATCTGTGACCAAATTGTATAGATATGTGATATGAATATATTTAATTAATAATAAAATATATAATTAATATTAAAATTTATGATTTATGACCGAAAATAATATGTGACTAATTAAATAGTGAATCTGCGATCAAATTGTATAGATATGTGATATGAATATATTTAATCAATAATAAAATATATAATTAATTAATTATTTGGTTTAGGAATGTATGTATTTTAGGGGTCTTCAACGTAATCATCTCTCTCTCTCTCTCTCTCTCTCTCTCTCTCTCTCTCTCTCTCTCTCTCTCTCTCTCTCCCCTCATATAGGATTTTCTGATTTTTGAAATTATATACTTGTTATCTTACAACTGAAACATAGCATACTTAAAGTCTGGACTATGAAATTTTCCCTTCTTATTCAGGTATTCAGGGCCTCACAGTTATTGCTGTTATAAGATTTCAATAATTCTAGAGCTTTAATTACAATAACATATTTCGAGAATATAAAAACTATTCATATAATTCATATGGAATATAAGAATAAATCAATTGAATCTTATTTGGATTGCGAAATCGTTCAAATTTTAAAGCATCCTCCTTTTCAAAAAATCTGTAGTGTTACTATAGTAAACTAGGATTACTGTAATTATTTTCTAGCTATTAAACAAAAAAAAAAATTATAAAACGGTGCAAATAGGCACCAACCATAACTACAAAGTAAAAAGTCTATTTGAAGTATAAAAAATGTCATTT